AGAGAGAGAGAGAGAGAGAGATGTGATTGATGTTTAATTTAGGTCAAAAAGTTTACTCTATTTAATGGATAAAAAGACAAGAAAAAATTACGTGTAATAGGTCAACTAGCTGAAATGACACAATACATTATTTATTAATGAAATTATGGTTAACGTTGAAAATAATTGCTATATAATCTTTAAAGTAAGACTGGCGTCTACCTTTAAATAATAAATAAACGAGATTGGCATTTCTCATTCTTATTTTATTTTAAATCTTCCGACTTTTGTGTTCTGATATAGTATTACAAGTGATTGGTAGATATAGATCAAAGAAGTATTAAAAAAATGATGATCGAACAAGATCCAAGACATTTGAAGTTTACTGAAGACATGATTCTGTATAAAAAAAAAATATGCATACTTTTTTTCTTTTTATTATTAGTTGTTTTCTTGCTTCGATTATCATATTATTTGTTGATTAGTATTCTCTATCGCGTACTATATGTAATTTCTTTTTCTTCTTATTTGTTATGATGTTCTTGAGACGAGCGCTATCAAAAATAACATATCGATCCATTAGGTGTAAGACTGTGTATACATTACTATTTTCAAACGTCACTTGACCGGGAATTTTACTAGATATATTATTGTTATTGTAGATATATTATTGTTATTTTTTCACAAATAACATTTGGATAAGGTGAGGTATACGTACACAAATTTTACTCCGACCTTTATGAGTTAAGTAAATTATTTCCAATATACCACCACTTATTAAAATATTATTAAATTTTTTTGTAAAAGTGGATAAAATATATTAGAAATCAAAGATAATTACCAATAATAAAAATACTAGGGATAATTATTATTGGTAAAAAGAAGTAATAAAATAAAATGTCGACTATTTACTTTAATTAATTAATATTATCTAATGCATCACGTTGCTAAATTCATCCCCTCTCCAAGTCATATTCCACTATATCATAAATTTTAGAACTCCATTAATCATGATTAATCATTAAAAATACTTTGTAAAATTTTGGTTGAAAAAAGTAGCAGTCGTAAAAAAGTAGCTAAAATTGCACGAATTGTTTTTTTTTTCTTGTTAATTATTATACTTGAATTTTGCAACTTGTACTATAAAGTAGATGAATTTTCTTTGTTTCAACTAACTCCAATTTTCAATTGTAATGTTCACATTTAATTAATTTATATAAATAGCCAACCAATGAAATACTTCTCTCCTCCGATCAAAATTAGTTGTCATGTTTCGTCTTTTTTGGAGAGAAATTATTTTGACTAATTTTTTTAAAATTTAATGAAATAATTATATTAATTTAATATTTCAAAATTATAATTAAGAGATTTAAAAGCTATACGAAAAATACTGCAAGTTATGTTACAAATCTTTCTGTATTAATATGACGATAAAATATATTTTTAAAATATTGATTAAAATTCACGTAATTCAACTATCGATACACTTGATTCATATAAATTTGCACGAATTAACAAATCGACTATAGGTTATATAATAAGAAGACTTTTTCCAACCAAAATATTTAATATCATGAAGTATGGCTATATTTTATTTAAAAAAAAAAGAGATGAAAGTGACAAGTAAATGATATTTAGTTTCTATAATTTTTATATGGTGCAAATCATACGGAAAAAAAAAATATCATATTATACAGAATTCGAATAAAAAATCGTGGTTTATCATCCAAAATATAAATCGAAGACGAAAATAAAAAATTATTATTTTCATATTGTACATTATGATTTTATCAATAAATGTCATAATCATTTTGAAATAGTCTCATTAGGCAAATTTTTTGGCTTATGTATATCTTGTTACTGTTAATTTATATACTTATCAAAGAGATCTTGATAAAATGTCACATTATTTCGTAAATATGTTACCTAATCTCGTTGACAAGGTTAATGAATTTTTCTTTACAATGACTTAATTCCCTTTTAATTTGTTCAAGTATTAGTAAGTGATATAAAAAATTACTTATAATTAACTATTAATTATTAGATAACAATATTATTAATTATTTATGTGGTTATCGTTTTTGTTAATAATATTTCATAGCTTAGTTAGCACGTTTTGACATTCTGATACTACATTTAATCAAACTATACGTTGAACTCATCGTTCAATTATTATCTATATTTTAGGATTTATATAGTCGATTCGAACTTGTTGAGTATGAAGTATACTTAGTTGTGTTATACCTTATGTACGACTTATAAGTGAATTCATAATTCAGATTTTGCATTCTCGAGTTTAGAGTTCTACTTCCACTTAATTATTTGGTGTTCAGATCAAAACTACTGAATTCAGATAAACATAATTGTTACGCTCTAAATTGGATCGGCCCCTACGTACTTAACATGGAGGTGCATTAGATTTTATTTTATTTTACTTTATTTACCTTTTGAAATGGTCAACCAATAGAAAATTAGCTGTATGATATAACCTTCTTTAAATTTATATTAGAAATTTAAATATACATAAATAAAAGGCAGATAATATATGTAGCTTAAAGTTTAAGTTTATCAAGTATAATGCTAATAAAATACTGTCATTAGGTAGAGTGACACTTTTCCTAATTAATTGATATGAATTTTGAATAAATCAACATATAAGGTAAATCCTGCTAGACTTCATAATTAATAAAAATATGCAATAATTAATTTATTATTTTGGTGATTCCAAAAATTTACTAACCCCACAAATTCAACTATTGGTTTTAATGGTTTAATTTAGCGCTGAATAATTCAATGCGTAGACACATTCCAAGTGAATTTTACTACTAATAAATCAAAAAAATTAATGTTTTTGACCCGATATTTAGTATACTCTTTTGAGCCCTGACTAATCCGAAATCACTCCGTGCAAGGTCCATTAAAGGAAGAAATGCTCAACAACATACTGAGTAAAATCTTATAAAGTGAGATTTGCGAAGAATAAAATGTACGAAAACGCTACCTTACCACTAAATTTAATAAATATTTAAAATGTCATTATTGATAACTTAAAAGAGTAAATTTGATTTCACCTGCTATACTCAGTCACCTCATCTATATATGGAAAGTCTTACAGGGCAGGTTACATGACTGATTCCAATGACCTCATTTATCAACTTTGTGTAATGGTGATAATTGTGCTAGCTTGCTCACACGTCGACTAATTCATAGGGCACCTGCTACTTCTCACTAGTAGAAGTACAAAAGTATCAGATAACTCAGTCCACCGAAGCATTTCAAACAACATACTTTCAAGCACAAACTATCACCAAATAAAAAAAATTGAAAAAACTAAAGGAATCAATCCAACTACATTACTCAGTATAAGGAGAGTGGAGTATAGGTAATATGATGTATGCAAAGTCGCGAACCTTACCTCTACATTAGTGGGATAGAGAGGTTGTTTCCGATACACAAATACAACATCTCATAATTATATTGTGAATGGCGAAATCCAAAGAATATGAACACTTGAAACCCTTTGTTCTTTGTCAAATTATGTTACTGTACAACAAAACTCAAAGCATGTACTTTGTCAAGGGAAGTTTTTGGAACCAAATAACTTAGTGAGCTCGAAATTAATCAGCTGCATACATAGTTGTTATATACGATTTTATTGAATCGACTATGGTACAACAGACAACAACACACAGTTCTTGATATAAAGTTAGAGATAGCTATCTCAAGATTGAGTCTGGATCATCTTCATCGTCAAGATCCAAGTCATTTGATATTCGGAACTTCTTTCCATCTCGTGGTCCTGTTCTTCCCTTCTTTGGTTTACCCCTACAGTAGTCATTGCATAAGGCTCACTCAGAAACATCGCAGAAGCAAAAGAACAAATATAAAGAAGTTGCAAGTTTATTTTGAGAATTCCATCCTCAATCCAAGTATCTTAGCAAATAGTAGGCTTAAACATTAAAACAATTTCAAATAAATGCAAGATATCTCTTCATAAAAAGCAGAACATACTGTCCATTATTTGCAAAAGCTCCACCCCTCATTCGACCTTGAGTAGGATCTGGTCTTCCATCTGCGAAGAAAAACAAAAATAAATGATCAAAGGTTTCTCTAATAGCAATTCAATATCTGTTATAACCTATATGGTTTGTCTATGTTTGGTTTGGTGGCTTGATATTCCCCAGAAACAGCTTGAGTTTAGTTCCTCGCCCCAAAAGAAACCTGCAAGAGTTTATGCATTACAAAGTGTGCAGAACAAAAAGACTAACCTTCACGTCCAAGTCCAAGCTCTTCCGCCTAAATATAAATGAATTTAACAGCCGCATCAGGCATCTATTAAGATCAAACGTGCTACATTTTAAGTATATACACTCGGTTAATGTATCAAATCAGTTGAAATTATAGTTAGTGCAAGGTGATTCACATAAAAATAACAAGATAGAATCGATCTACGAATTTGTACATGCATGACACTTGGACTTTCAACATTTGTTCCCTAAATCTATGTGTGCGCAAGAACGTTGAAAGTGAAGGAAGCTTCTGTTTGATAAGTGAAAAAGTAAGGAAGCTCTGAGACATCAGCACAGAAAAATAGGTGTTGGGATAAGCACAGGTAGTTCAAATTTGTTCAAGGTAAGTGGTGTGGAAGTGGTATTGCAATTAAATTAATAACAAAGATTAGACCCTGGAACTGTTAAAAAGTAATTACGACTGAATGCATATGTTAGTATCCATCAATAAACAATCATCAAAATCTGTTGATCCAAGACGAATGCCCCTATATGGAGTTGTCTGAATTCCCACTTAATCATTCATGCAGTAGTATGGAGAAGCTTAAAAACCTGGTGAACGTTTCGGTTTCAAATTAAAGAAATTACAATCCAAATTCAAAATAAATGAACTCTGTTTGGTTTGACCTTTTAGAGTTCATTTCAGAAGCGACTTGAGGCATTAAGTATTGCTTAAGCAAAGAAATGCGAGACTTAAGGAAATTGAATTGACATAAGGATTAACTTTAGGTCTAGTTGAAAAACAATTGCAAGAGCGACTTGCATCTTCTTCCTGCTGCTGCTATTCGAAGTTGCCGTTCTTCTCCTCCAATACTAATGGAGGCTTGCACATCATCTTCTTGTTGCTGCTAGTTCTAGTATTTATTATTTACTTTTTCATTTTAGAATTGAAAGATTTGCTTAATATGTTATTTCCATTGAGTTCTTACAATTTACAACAACAACAAATACCCGGTGTAATCCCACAAGTGGGGTTTGGGGAGGTTGATGTGTACGCAACCTTACCTCTACCTTGTGAAGGTACAAAATGGTTATTTATTGGTGGAAATTAATGTTTTTATTTATTTTCTATTAAATTGAGCTTCAGTTAAAAAAAGTGTGCACTTCACCTCACGCTTCTCGCTTCGGTGAAGCGACCCTCAATGCTATTTTTTTTCTTTCCGCCTCTTTCTATCCAAAACACTACATAATTCTCATAAACACAACTTATTTGAACCCATCACAGGGATTTGGATTGCAAGAACAACTATCATTTCCTAGTCCTTCTATGGGAATCCTATTTTAGCCTTTAAAGCAAAATTTTCTTGCTTCCCCTTTGCATTTTTTTTTTGACAACAAGGGAAACCCGCAGCCGCTACCCTTTCGGGTGCGCACAGAGTAAAACCCCGCTCCTATGCAATAGCTCGCAAACCACATAGGAGAGATAACCTGCCTGGTGTGACGAGCTCGACCCAGAAGGCAAACCCCTTGCTTTCGCTGACAAGGGGTTTCGAACTTGAGACCTCCAACATGGAAGTCCCAAGCTCAAACCACTGCATATTTTAAAGTATCAATACTTCAAAAATTTATTCATAACATAGCTAATGGGATCGATATTATTATCATCATCCTAGCAGTGCTCAAATTATTGAACCTAGAGCTTATCTTAAAAGGCATGGTTTAGATAACTTGTAAAAAAAATCATAATATCACAATGTGGAAAAAAGTCTCGTTTAGGGGGAGATCATTCTCTCGATAGTTTACTTGTTTTTTTATTAATTTTCTCATATATAGGTCATCTGGCTAAACCATCTTAAATTTATCATGCATATGATTATGAGATTCAGCAGATATTCTTTGAATTTTCTTTTTAGGGGGTAGGGGACAGAATGGTTTGCAGTACCAGTTAATGCTAAACGCTCAAGTATAAGCAGCGCAAAACACGGCTTGAAGACTCATTTTTATCAAATTGAAACAACATAAACATCAATAGTAAAGAAGTTAGCAAATATCAGAAATTCCAAGAACAAGTAAGCTCTAAAGAACCTAAATACATACCGCCGGTGAAGTGACTGAAGACAATGAGAATAACCTATCTTCAAGCTGGAATTTTCTTGACCTTTTGAGGCTGCCAGATGACATAAAAGTGACATTCTTATAAGTAAATCATTGGGAAACGTATTATGACTAGATAATGAAACAATCGCTTCTGGAAAAGGAAACAACCTTCTAATTCATGAAAGCAAAGTCAAATGCTGATCACAAGTACAATTAAATCAGCCCAAATATTTCAGTAATATGAACCAAAATAATGCACCAATATTATTCACAAAATTCAATTATAGTATAGATATGGATCAAAAATATTCACCGAGTTTTCTTAACATATTAATCAGGTCATTGAATATTTATTCATTCAGGACAGTGCTTATGGTGTTCCATGTACGAAAGAAGCTTCAAGGTTATAAGAATCTGAAATCAGCTTCCAAATGCTAGTGCATTGGATGTCATCGATCATATCCCTAACTGGTGGCTCGTTAAGCTTACTGAACAATTATTCAGATCTCCAAAACTTTTGCTTTCTGCTTGCAGGAAATTTCATCAAATTTGCACACTCTTTAACGGACAAACTCAGGGAAGAGTTACTGTAGACAGAAACCTTAAATTTGTCTACAGATATGATTTTCTTCTCTCATATAGTAGCTAGAGATATGGATTGTAACTCAGAGGATAGTAAAGTCTCATGGAACCCGTATATTACTTTAATTCATGTGATTTTTTTTTTTGTAAAGTCAGATGCAGTGATTGGCCTTTTTCACCTAGCCAACGATTATTGGCTTTGGTGAGAGTACATCTTCTTCCTGATCTATCTTAACCGAATCCCATACAGTTCAGAACCTCAACACTGATTTCACTATCTTATTACTAGGCGGAAACTAAGTAGTTATTGAGAAACGACAATTAGCACAAAAACACTAGTAATGCTGATTCATAATACGAAGCTTAAATGACCAATTCCATCAACTATCATAACCTTAATGGTTATTGCTAAACCTTAATAACCATCATTGTGCCTAAGCATGCCAAGATCATGTTTTGGTGTAAAAATGAGACGCTCTGCAACAAAAAGTAATCATTTACAATAACTAGCACTTCTATTAACCAACTACAAAAACACAAGCAGATAAATACTGGAAAGGTGTGTACTTCGAATTCTTATTCGATGTTGATAGAAATCCTTCAAAGCCTTTTAACGCATTCCCAAATGTGCCCGATTCTTGCAAATAACTCGTCTCTAGCTCATAAACCTACACCAAACCATTACCCACATTTGAACAACAAAACAGGATAATGCGAATAGCACAACATCTCACATGACATAAGTTGTAAATACTCAAAATTACAGCAAAAACTCATTACCATAACATATCAAACTAATAATACAATATTTTAAAAAATCAGTGAAGCACCACGAAATATACTACTCCTGTTTCAATTTTTGTCTGGTTTTCACACAACACGTAGTTTAGGAAAGTAAAAAAATCACTAAAGCAGCACGAAATATACTACTCCCTCAATTTCAATTTACTATCTGATTTTCACTCGACACGAAATTTTAAGTTGACCAAACTTTTCAATCTTTTGGACTTGTTGTGGTTACACAATATATACCTTATTAATATATGATTTTAAACATGTCACCAAGCTTGCCAAAATCGGAAAAAATCATTCTTTTTTAGAACGAACTTAATAAAAAGAATAAGACAAACAAATTGAATTGGAACCAGTAATATCCAACTAAAGAGCTTCTACAACAAACTTCATAATCAAAATAATAGAATAATTCAACAAAAATAAGTCTTTTTACTTGTTTTTCAACATTTCGTAGTTCTTCTTGAAGCTTTTCTCTTTTGTTCAACAGGGATGCAAGAACAACCTTAGGATTTGAACCTCTGTGCCCTAATGAAAAAAAAATCCAAATTATAAAAAAAATCCCAAATTTTCACAAGAAAAATTGAAATTAGGGTTTGAAGGGGTTACCATGGAGCTCCATTTTCCCGGCAATTTTTTTTTTTTTGAAGATAAAGCTGTAATTCAAAAAAAAAGATTTCAGCAGCTACAAGGATGAGTTTTATCAGTGAGATTCATGAGTGTTAGCTTTTGGACAAAATAAAATGTATTTTAATCTTTAAACATTAACTTACAAAATCGAGAAATGATTTAAATAAAATGGGCCTTTAGAGAAAATCACTTTTTGAGTAATTGGGCTGATTCAATATTTTATGAACAATAAAAGAAGGCTTTGATGTTCAAGAAGTTTCTATTTGGGTTCAGCGAGTTTAGAAAATATATTTTTCGAAAAATAAGTGATCTTTTTTTTGATGATGATGTGTTTTGGGTTAGCTTTCGTATATTTTAATTAGTTTTGTGAGATATCTGTCATTTTTTTACTAGCAATATGTACTAGAAAAATTGTATAAAATAATGAACTATCAATTTAAAATAGATGTTATAAATTCATAACAAATATTTTAACATTTGCCTCTCTCCCCTCAATCTCGCTTGCCACTCTTCATGAATCACGCTCGCCACTCTCCCTTGAATCTCTCACAAATGTATAAATTGAGTTTGTGCTTGTATAAAATGAGAGAGAACTGAATACACAAATATATATATATATATATTTTCGTCCTATACACTTGTTATTGTACAAATACCAATAATCATCTGCCCAGTTTTCTTTTGTCTTTCTCGCTTTATGCAAACACAAATATATTATGTGTTTGCATAAAGCGAGATAGATTTGATTTACAAATACTACCATTATAACTCGATTCAATTGTATATGAATTCAAATTTTCCGCAGATATATAAACACAAATAACATATAAACATAGATAAAGACACTCAATTTATACAAATTAGATGCTTGCGATTTTATACAATTAGATGCCACCTACGATTTTAAACAAATTTAATGTTCCATAACGAAGTTTGCTATAGAACACAAATAGCAAAACTATAATTATAAAATGTTAATATACTTTTTATATTTGCTAAATCTAAAATTTATTTTTTCTTTACTTCTATTAGTGAAATTATTTTCTTTTAATTTCACAAATCTTTTTTTTTTAGAAAAATACTTTTCAAAAGTATTTAACTCAATAGGCTTTAGCTAGCAAATTGAATTTTCATTAGATTGTTGTACGTAGTGCTTTATTTTCTTGTACACTATCGTTTATTTCTCCTTCGGTGGCTGCCTTTGATTCAACTTCAAACAATTCTCTTTCTCTAGAGTCTCTCTCTAGGTCTCTGTTGATCGCTTTAACCATGTCTTTCAGAATCAGAGGGGTAAGTTTTTTTAGTTTTTTTTTTGTATTGTAATTTGATCTGTTTGATAGATCTGATTTTGCTTTGCATGGTTGAATTACTTATCTGTTTGTTTCTGAATTGTTGCTTTGTAGTACAAAATTTGCTTAATTTGATATGGGGAAATCTGAGTTTTATGTTGTTGTGAAGTTATATCGAACTGATTCGTATACTGGCTGTGCTGATCTGTTTTTGAGTCATAATGCTCGGGGATTCGAGTTGAAACAAAATTAGTGGTGGTAATGCTTGAATTTTTGTCTGAGCTCCAAGATTGAGGCTTTATCACAAATAATTTGAAGTTGAGAAAATTACTTGAGCCGACGGTTTATTGGAAACAACAGCTCTACCCACCCTCCCTAGACCATGTTTGTGGAATTATACTCAGTATGTTATTGTTGTAATTTTGAAGTTGAAAAATTATTGAGGATTTCATTTTTGAATAGGTTGAACAAACTTGTTTTATTTGAGGTTTTTGCGTTTTTATCTTGGTGGGTTTGGGAGAGGTGGTGATTAGAGATCTATTTAGTTGCGAGGAGTTGGTGTTGGTGTTGGAAGTCCATAGTTCATAATGGAAACCAGTTGATGACCGTGGTGTCCTGACCATCCAAGGGATACCTTTATACCTACCACCGGCAACAAGTACTAGGTAACTCCGTCCACCAAGGCTAGGATAGATAGGAAGAATCACCTAGTGTTTTTTTTTGTTTGAACTTGAGATCTGTGGGCTCTCAACCACTTCATTGACCTTTGGGTGCGATTCTTCCGTATTTAGAGACTTCATTCTTTAATTTTCTTCATTTGACTTCTGGAGGGATTTGATGAAACGAAATTCAGTAGAGGGCCAGTGTGTTATATATATGTGTTTCATCTTTCTAACCGTACAAACTACTCAGTACAATTTTTGTTCCATTATGCCTGTGGTTCTCTTTAGAGCAAATTTATTGAACATGTGTTATGCTTCTAGACAAATGCATCCTCTGGCATGGGGGTTGCTGATCAAAGCAAAGCTACTTATATGGAACTGCAAAGGAAGAAGGTGCATCGATATGTGATATTTATGATTGATGAGAAGAAAAATGAGGTTGTGGTTGAGAAAACTGGAGGTCCAGCTGAGAGCTATGATGATTTCACTGCAGCTCTTCCTGAGAATGACTGCCGATATGCAGTATACGATTATGACTTCGTGACATCTGACAACTGCCAAAAGAGCAAAATTTTCTTCTTTGCCTGGTAAGTTATAATTCCATCTTGAACTTGCATAACTGGATTTTTATCAAAGAGATGCGTGCACCTTATATTCTAGATAGTTAAGACTCTTTATGATTTCATATGCTTAAACTGTCCTCTGTGAATGATGCTGCATTATTCAGCAGTCTAGAACAGGGACTCCATTTTCCAAAAGAAAACACGGGAGGAGTATTGGCTAGCTGTTTTATCATAACTTCAGTCTATATGTGCGGGGGGAATTTTTGCTCTCATTTATGAATGTTGGTTCTAAATTATTTACAATGCTGTCAAGTCACCACATTAATGAATTTCATAGAGCAGGCACATTCGGATTTACAAGTATCAAGCTTTAGTGTCAAACCAATTGAGTGAGTGATATGCGAGTAATGTGGAATAGTGGATGGATAGTTTTTCTCCTTTATGGAATATAACTAGCCAATGACGATGTCAATTGCAATTATTATGGTAGCATTCTCAGGGAGTGTCTGTGATGGCTGAAACAATTGAGTTAATCGTAGAGAGAGTAAGAGGTCAGGAGACCATTTGTGTTATTATGTATGTGGCTTAGGTTTGCAAGAAGGACACTTTTGTGAAGTAAAGTCGACAGCTGTTGTGGTCAGATACCTGAGGTACTCGTGAAGTGAACGTCAATGTCTTGAGAAAATGTTATAGTACTGAGAAAGCGAGAATAGCCATATGAGTAGAACTTGCATGCACATATTGTGAAAAGGTGGAAAACTGACCAGCAAAGGAATTGCTGATGCTACGAGTAACCATATCTTTTTAGAGAATACTTTGCAGTCGAGACAAATCGAGGTGAAGAATAGTTGGGTTCAGGGTCTTTAAGAATTCATTTTTCCTATAACTAGAGTGTGTTGTTTTGTGCCTAGCATATCATTGTAAGAAATTTTTTTCTAGAGGTTTGTTAGGTATGCATCACTCTTTCTGCAGTGAACTTTAAGACCCTGCATAATTATATTTAGAAGTTTTAGGAGGATGAAGAAATTCCCCATGTATTGGGTAGACTATACGGCAGTGTTTTGAGTTAATGATAATTTTGTGACAAAAGTTCTTGTGATAAGGTCTGAAGATTTATGGAAATTATCCTTCGCGTTATGGGGATTGCGGAGTGATTATATTTCCGTCAGTAGAAGAGACTAATTCTTTGGCTAATTTTGGATTTTCATTCGAGTCTTGGCATGTGTCTAAGGATTGTTCTATATTGGTTTTGGGTTAGACCAAGTTCCATTTGAAGTTATTTATTTATCTACTTTAGTTCTTTTAATATCCCGTCTGTTGTGTACTCGCAATACATCCTTTCGAGAATATGAAATTTTCTCCCTTCTTAGATCCGTGAAGCAGTGTTGTATCTAAAATAATAAATTCTTATCTTCTTATTGCATATTAAAGTCCTTGGCCCTTCTTCTCCTCGACAAGACAAACTAAAACATAACAAGAAAACACGACGGAAATGAAGGGATGTCTTCAGTAGGAAAATGTTGTTCAAAAGTAGTGCATTTTTGGAGAGTTCGAACAACATTGAATTTTTACTTTGGGAAATCATTTCATCGGATTAGTTTAATTATGAAAGAAGTGATATTCTAATCCATCCTTTTCAGGTCTCCATCTGTTTCCCGAATCCGATCGAAGATGCTGTATGCGACATCTAAGGACAGGTTCAGGAGGGAGCTGCAAGGCATACACTATGAGATTCAAGCTACTGACCCTACTGAAGTAGAACTTGAAGTGCTCAAAGAACGCGCTTACTGATTGATCAAACATCCTACTATGAAACAACCATTCATAATATTTCTGTGTAATCGCGTCTTACAAGACTCGATCTACTTAACTATGACATAAATAACTCGATGCTTGGGTTGCTGATTACCGGACGACTCATGATAGTTAGTATATCATGTTTTCTGGTTATGAGCTCGCTCATTCTCATGATGCTTCCTAGTCGAGAAACGAGTATGGTGTTCTGTATGTGAATGGTTATCAACTTCTCTATGTCTACGCAATGAATATTATGTGTTATTAGTATCTGACTGATAAATTTCTGTTGTTCTTTTCCTGTCTATCTGTTTGGGAGATGGTTAAATAGATCTTTAGTTGAACCTACAGCGCGTTTTTTGGTCGCTTATACAAGCCATGTACTGCGAAGATTCACCATAAATTGACTAGTTTATGCTTTATTTATCAAGATATTAGATTGTCGTTAACATAAATTTTTAAATCGTAGTTTAAAAGGTCTATATGTTATATTGTTGCGAGAGAAATATAAGGAGGGCACTCATACAACAATTATTGTAACAAAATCAACAGGCAAAAATCTGAACTACATAAAGCAAAATAAATTGGTAAGATTATGTACAACATGTCTGGAAATTAATTGTGTAATGATGGCAACAGTATTGTTTTCTCTAAATATAAAAAAACTACTGTTTTGCTATTATTAGAGGGACTTGGTTTTAGTGAAAATATTATAAATTAAGGGGCTAACTTCCAAAAGAAAATTATGTTAGCATTTGACTTTCATTTTCCCATGTGTAAATAGCTCAATCTTATCTACTTAGATTATCATAAAATCATAATTTTCTGTG